GCATGCGAAAGCCGCTGTCTGCAGCGTAAGTACCCTATTTTTCTTTTTTTTGTACAAAACACTAAGAGCCTTCCATTCTGGGGGGCGTCTGTCCGGTTGCTTATCATCGGCAAGCATGTTTGTACATAAACAGTGAGGGGGGGAAGAAGAGAAAAGAGAAGAAAATCAGCCGCCTAAGCGAGGGGGGGCTGCTTCTGAGTACCCCACACCCAAACCTTTGCCCCTCTACAGTAGCAGCACCCAGGCACGCAGTATGAGAATCCCCCGGGGGCCACAGCTCGGGGGCAGCGTTCAGGACAGTCCCTGAGGCCGCTTGTCCAGTCCTCGGCTATTTCCTTGCCTTTCTGAGTCATACCTGGACCCTACATTGCATCATATCCTGTTTCATGTCTCTTTGTATCCCTTTCCCAATCTCAACGAGCCGCCAGTCCCGAACTGGTCCTCTATAGCAATCTGCTGTTCTAAGCCTATCTTTATGCTATCAGACCCGTGATCCTTCCCCTGTTCGCTTTGTGGGGATCCTAGTGGGCATTCTCCTTCCACATATCTGGAGATGTAATGGAACCAGCAGAGTCATCTAGCTTGGCGTTCCTTGTGGAAAGTATTGATGGCCCCAGCGTTTTCCTTGATCCTTCTATACTTGTATGCCTGTTCCCCGTGACATGCTGTGCTTTGCTGTTTCGGCATGAAATCCCCCTCTAATCTGCTTCAACCCATTGTTATGGTACACTTAAAATTCTCTTATCTGCCCTCCTTCCTGTTCCACCTGTCTACTGTCTAATTTCATTAGGGCTCCGAGGAGGACAGCTGCATCATCCGCCTCCGTGACTCCACGGGTGTCTTGGCCGCAATTTCCTGCGCCCAACATTCCCAGAAGGCCCGGACTACGGGGCATCTCACAAAGAGATGGGGAATGATCTCCACTTGCTCACACCCCGCTGCGTATGACTCATCCTTGTGCTGGCTCCTTGTTTCTAACCATTGTGCTGTAGGGATTGCCAGGTGGTAGAGTTGCCATAAGAGGCCCGCTTGCTTCTGGTCTGGTAAGGCACAGCTAGGATGGCATATTGCAGTGTACGTTTTTTTCTGTTTTGAGCCCAAATGCCACTATGATGCTGCGAATTAGAAGACAGAAATTCGCGACTGGGTGTGCCGCATCATTTGCAATGTGAAGTCACGCTTTAATGAAGAGGCACACTTGCACATATCTGTCTCTTATACACATCTAGATGTGTATAAGAGACAGCATGGAATGTGCGTGTTGTGCAGGAATCGTTGGGT